CGTGGAGAGGTAACGAAGTCAAGTTGGTCTTGGCTAAAGAAACAGACACGGAACTTGGAGGTGACCTTTGCCAGAATATTTTGCCTAGATGGGAGTGAGAAAAATCAGACAGAGTTGGAGAAAGATGAGGGACCAGGGAGCTGTTTTGTTTTAGCTGGGATGGTTTTTATGAGATGGGAGCTACTGACCTGTGTGACTGCTGGCCAGGAGGGTCCAGGAGAGGGGGTGATTGGAAGGTGGAGGAGCCACTGGGGAGCAGGCCAGGCCAGGCCAGGAGTGGAAGATGGCCTCAGATGGGGGGAAGGACCTGGCTTCCCCCATATCCAGAAGGATGAAGGAAAGTGGGGCACGATGTAGGCAAGTTAGGGTTTGGGCTGTGACAGAGGAGGCGTGAAGGGGGCTTCTCTCCGGGGGCAGGCATCGCGGTGCCCAGGGACCTGCGACAGGACCTCCCGGTGGCTTGGCCGGTTGAAGCCCTGCCTAGCCCGGGGCTGCGCTCCGCGGGGAGTGGATCCCGCTGCGCGGGGCAGGCTTTGGGTTGCAGGGAGGTTAATTTTCAGGGGTCCGATCTCGGGGCTGTCGGTGGAGTTATTTATGTCTCCAATGATGAAAATCCACCCCCTGCCCCACTCTTCCACTCCGGGGCCCATAAAAAGTGTCAGGGAGGTGGCCGGAACCCCGGCCGCGCTGCTGGGTCGCACGGATTACCGCTGTCACGGGCGGGCCCGGCGCCCCCATCCATCTTAGCCAGACGCCCCAGCTCCCGCCTGTCACGTCGGGGCGGTGACCCCTGCCGCGGCCCGGCTTCCTGGGGCTTGGGCACCACGTGGGCCGAGCATGGCTTCCAGCAAGTGCTTTTAATCAGCGTCAGGTTCCCAGCCTCCCTTTCCTTCCCAGCCTCCTCAGCGTCTCAAGACGGCAGACCTCCGCCCCCGCTGGGCGTGGGATACGGTTTCCCGGGATGGGGTATGTCCTGGGGCCACCGCGGTCATGTCCACGAGGGTTTTGGATTACTGTGTCCTGCGTTGCCTAGAGTCAGGGTCCTTGCTTTCTGGAGTACACTCCTCGCTCACCTCCCTGTCTGCAACTTTGGTATTGGCAAAGTCTGTCTCTGCTCCTCTAAAATGACACTGATCATATCGACCCTAAAGAGCTACAATGTTTGGAGGGTTTTGTTTGAATTTATTATTATTTTTTGGTTGGGGCATGAAATCCAAATAAAAGGTGGACCACAAAATTGTACTCCCACGAGAGATTGATTTTGTCGGGCCACTCCCTGTCCCCTGCCATCTGTACCTCATGCCTAAGCTCAGAGCCAGGCACAAGGTAGATGCTCAATAAACATCCAGGGAATTAATGAATGAATAGATAGGTGAGAAATGCACGCAGGTAAGCCTACATGTGTGATCCTAGCATCAGTGAATCAGTGATTACCATGTGCCAGGTCATGTGCTAGGATTTTAACCAAATGATGTCATTTATACACTGATAGTAAATAATCATGTTTCCATTTTTTTAAAAAATATATACTTTAGTTGTAGATGGACACAATATGCCTTTATTTTATTTATTAATTTTTATTTGGTGCTGAGGATGGAACCCAGTGCCTCACACGTGCTAGGCAAGTGCTCTATCCCTGAGCTACAACCCAGCCCTCATGTTCGAATTTTGCAGATGAGAAAATAGCCACTGAGCAAGGTTGCGTTACCGACTCAATGTTCCTACCAGGTAAGTGCAAGAGCTGAGATTTGAACAGAGCCCTGCTTTCAGAGGCTGTGTTCTTGACCACTGCAGTGTGACAACTTAGAAAGTGACACTCATGTTCTATGCTAAAAACAGATGCATCCTCTTGGGGTTGCAAGAGTATTGTTCCCAAGAGTTTAAGCCCGGCCCCTGAGAACATCATTAAGCAGAAACCGAATGAACCAATGAACATCTTTCTGTCCAGAAAAAGAGAAAACAGATGTATGTGTCTGGTGCCATCATGATGGTTGGGACACATGCCAGGCAGGTGGTCTTAGCCACCCCCACATTCTGGGCTATCCAAGTTCAACCACTAAAGAGGTTGAGATGGAGAATGAATAGACCCAATCCTAAGAATTGACTTTCTGCCACCTCCACAAATCAAACGGCTTTGGATGGACCAGGCCTGGTGGACGTGTGCATTATTTTCTTCTCTATCTTCTTTGGAAGTGGGATTGAGTGTGACAAAATGGTGGCATTTACATCTCCTGACCTTCTAACTCCTGCTACCCAAGGTGGCCCATCAGACCCGGCAGGGGGAAAGACATCCCCTCACCTTGGGGTCCCCTGGACACAGGTTGGGTGGTCTCTGTTCCCCCCTGCTTCCCATTCTCCACAGGACTGAGCAGGGGGCAGTGCCGATCACTTGAGTGCCTGCTCTCTGGCCCTTGGAGAAGAAGAAGCCGAACCCCACAAAGCTCCAGAGTGACCGAGGGAGGCTGCCGTCTGAACTTGCTGCTGTCTCCAGAGAAGGTGGGACCAGCTTTATCCACACAGGAGTGACAGTCCCCCTCAGCCGGCAGGCATGAACTCTTGTGTACTCTGCTGGCTGGCTGCTGCCTCGTTCTAATAAATTAAATCTGTTTTATCATCACTGTTCTATTCCTGAGACAAGCACTTCCAAGGCAGATTAGAAAGGAACTTAAGGGGATTAAAAGCTTCTCTTAGTGAAAAACAATGTTTCAGATGGGAAATCCATTTACCAATATGAATTTCAGCAGAAATGCATGTTTTCTTTAATGCAATGTTACTGCTCCCAGAAACCGGGATTTCCCCTCTGCTTTGCATAAGTTATAATGTGAATTCTGTTGAGCGTGGCAAGCTTTCAGGGAGATGGATGGCTTCCGTAAAGTTGCACGAAAACATTTCTCCTTTGTTCACGAGGGAAAAGCAAAGTGTCTAATGGATTTGGAGTATTAAAGAGTGTGGGTCTGTTCTGGAAACCAGGGGAAGTCTAGGAGTAAATACCAGATACAAGAGGAGACAGAATCCTTGGAAATGGAGAGAGTCCACTCTCAGTTATCTGCCTGTGGCTTATCCGCAGGGAAGTTTAAGAAAAAGAAAGGGAAAGGAAAGAATCCCAGGGTTCCGGCTCCCTGCCTGGCTGTCTCTCCTGTGGACTCAGGGAACTGAAAGTCATTTGAAAAACTGGACCAATATAATTTGGAGGGTAATTCTGCTGCTGCAGCCATACAAAAAAAAAAAAAAAAATTAAAAAAATTAAATTGCGGAAGGCAGGCCAGGAGGATATGTAATTAATTTTTTCCTCCATTATCCACAGGTTGGGATTCTCTATACCATTAGAAAGTTGACTTAACATAAAATCAGGAGCCAGATCCCCAAAGCCAAGATGGACCTCCTGCCAGGGCTGCAGGAGTGTTGTGTAAAACTTGGGGACACTGCTGAGTCAGCACAGTGCCCTGTTGGAGGGAGTTGGAAGGGAGGTTCCCCCCCAGGAGGCTGGGGGTGCCTAGACCAGAAGAACCTGAGAGCCTGGGCAGACAGGGGCCAGGGGCTGCCTGATTGGGTCGACCAGTTACTAAGTGTTGATTTGCTCTGGGTGATCCTCAGAAATCTGGGGGTACCATGTGCAAACTCAGTTTTCCTCTGTGCTCCCCTGGCACTTGGTGTCCAAGAACACAAGCTCTTGGTCTTGACCCTGCAGGGAATGTCCCCTCTGACATTCACCATGTGCCATCCGAGTGGTGCAGAGAGCTCTTGGTGGCCCAGGCCAGGAACCGGCTCCTGCTGACTGGCTCAAGTCAGGGAAGGCTCTGCTGCAGGGACCGGGCTCTCGTGAGGTCTAAGGCGTGGAGCAGGGCTGTCGCCAGAGTGCAGGGGACCAGAGGGTCTCCAAGTCCCCAGGCTCTGCTGCACATCGACCCACTGCGGCTTCTTTAAGGGGTGGGCTTCAGCCCTCAACCCTGAAGCCAGGATGGTCCTCGTGCAAAGAAAAACCTCCTCAGCCTTGGAGAAGGGGCCCCACGTGTCACCACATCGACCTTCCATTTTGTCTGTTCTGTGCAGCCGCCACATGGGGTAGAAGTCTTAAAAAGAGAAGCCGAGCATCTAGAGTTACCCCTTCATTTCCACCCCTAATAAATGATGATATTTACCCACAGCTACTGGGTACTAACTAGGTCTGTCCCAGGCTCTGTGTCCTGAAGTACTTTATATGAAATATCTTATTAAAGCTTTTTGACAACTCAAGGAACTAGATACTGTTGACATCCCATTTTACATCTGGGACCATAAGACCCAGAGAGGTGAAGTTACTTAACTAAGGTCACACAGCTGGTACATGAAAATGCAAGCCTGGGACCCAGGTATCCAATGTGATTTGTCCTTGATCTTCTTACTGGAGTTCCTGTGTGACTTTACAAGCGAATCTTGCATGTTGAAAATGCCAGTCTTTAGTTTAAGAAGCCAGTTTTCTACAAGCATCCATATGGAGGTGAAAATTGTTGATTAAAAAAATACACGTTGGCTAGCACCTGGGGATTCTAGCATCTGTGGGATTTCTTAACCTGTGTTGTCCAGAACCTTCACCCCTCCTCCCAGACCCCATCCCCATGGCACGCGCCTCCCCTGGGCTACCTACCATTCTCGGGATCCAGCTAGAAAACCTGGTGCTAAAACATTGCTCAATTTTAATTACTCTCCCAGCACCTCGCTGTCAGCTGCCCCTCTGAAATTGTTTTAATTGAAGTTCCCCGAATCCTGGCGAGTTCAGACGGAGTTCATCTCTAAGCCCATTCCGATTTCATTAAAGATTTGATCTTTCTTTTTTCACCAATAAAACATTTATTATCGTTATCTGTTTCGTAACCATTTTCTTTCTCCGAAGGGGTGGGAAAGGTGGGGGAAGTCAACCTCATCTTCATGCCCATAAGACAGAGCAGTCCGTCATCTGTTGATTTTCCTGGCACTCGAGAGGAGTCACATGCTAAAAAGAAATAATAACTATTTTCCTTGTCAATGGAAGCAGTCCTCATTCAAGAGGATTTTATTTATTTATTTATTTTAATCTGCAAGTGCACTACTTGTGAATTAGCAGCACACAGGTCTGGGGGAGAGAATCATCTTCCTGAATCTTGATGGTTTCTTTTTCTTTTTTGTTTGTGTGTCCAGAGGAGGAGCCCTGGGGACTCAAGGTCATAGGGAGATGGTGGCTCCCTCGCACCCACCCCTGGGAAACAAAGTTACAGATGAGCCACAGAATGCAAAAGTTAAACCTTGCCCCAAAGTAGCTTATTGACCTCCGAATGTTAATAATTAACAGTTAATTACCATTAAATCATCGTTGCCCAGTCTTGGCCGGGATCTCGATTGACACTCAGGAGTCAGGTCCCGGGCTATGTTTGTGATTATCCGCTGCGACATTCTCAGCAAACCCAATACCTGCCTCCTGCTCGGTGGATTTGAGTCACGATGTTTTTCGTTAAGGATTCAGCAGCTGCTCCTTCGAGATCTTTGTTTCATGTATGTAATATACTTAAAATGCACTAAATGAGAGTTTATAATATCATTATCTACAGTTAAAGATATTATAACTTCAAAACTGAAAAGAAAGTGCAGCCATATGTGGAAATGGTCTATTTTGTGCCCTTTTGACCCCCCTCGAAGTTTCAAGCGGACCAGACAGGCAACGGCACAAAAATCATAGGTCTGCAAAACCATTTTGCTATTTTAGCTCACGGTTGTCATGAAAGGAAACTGGGTTATTTAGACAGTAAATAACAACGGAGGACTAATTTATTTTGCTTTTTCTTTCTCTCTTAAGATTCTTTCGGTCCCGGGTTCCAATATGTTCTTTATTACATGGTTTGATAATTCAAGGATGGCTCTCCGTCACCCCCCACCACCACCCTGCCACCACCTCCTCCTCCCCAGCCCCCAATAACATGGGACTTGATTTAAAACTTCACTCTGAGCAGCCCCCGGGGTTATTAGGAACTGAGGACGGAGTATGGATTAGGTTTAAAAGTAATAAAAAAGTAGACCTGTTGGTTAGGTGAAAAATTCACTATCAGATTCCTGAGCGCAGGGTTTCTTTTCATGTGCAAACGGTACTAAATGAGGCATTTAATTCAACAAATCCAAAGTTCTGATCCGCCAGAAATAGAGACTGGGTTAGTTCAATTTGTAACAAACGATCCCCGTATGATCAAAGTCCTGAACGCTGATTTCAACATGCTGCTTAAATTAGTCTAACACCAAAGTCTTTGGCTTGGAGACAGTATTTGGAATGTCTTACCAGAGGAGAAATTCTTTCTCACACATGGTTCTAATATCACGCCATGCCAGTTTTGCTTTTTTAATGGGCTGACAAGAAGGCACGGTGCTAACTCTCTGACTCTGGAAAGTTCTGGTGCTGTCACCCGCAAACCAGCTAGGATAATTTTTCCTTGGCTTCCTTATTAAAGACTGAATGAAGGGATTGTGCGGCTTTCTTAATGTCACTTGGTCTGTTTGCCATAAATTCAGGTGCTCACGATGAAAGCCGCACTTATATTTCGCTGGGAAATGGAATCAAGGACCGTGCACCGAGTTCACAATAAATAACTAAGCGTGAGTTATTAAGTGAATTTCATATACCAGAGCCTTATTACATCAGCAGTTTAGATAATGGTCGCTGAAAATAATACACGGATGGACGGCCTTCGCGGCCAAAGCCAGGGGGTGGGCGGGTGGGGGGTGTCCAGAGGGGATCAGGGTACCCAGAGCCTGATGGGGTGGGAAGGGAATAGGTGGTATTTGAAAAAAAAAGAGAATAGGATATTTACATTTTTTGTATGCTGTTTGCCCTTGGAGCTCAGCGGGGAGACTCGCAGGCCTCTGGGCCAGCGCGATCCACATCACTCCAGGCTTCCTGCCTGCCATTGTTTGTTTTCTTGCCCAAGGAAGACTTGGGGTTGTTTAGACTATGCGCCTAATTCTAGAGGATGATAATTATGTTACTTCTAAACCACATATTTTCCAGAAATGGCTGCCCCATGAAAATAGCTCGGCCTGTGTGCGTGTCCAGCCTGGCTGGCAGCCAGTTCGATGCCCAGGACCTCAAATCTCCTGGTCACCCAGGGATGCTCCCGGTGACTGGGACCAGGGCGCTTGGCATCCTGGACAGGTCTGAGTGAGGGCAGGCAGGAGAGCTGAGGCTGACCTCCTTCCTCGGCTGTCCTGGTGGGTCTTGGGTGGACACGTGGAGCCCAGGACAGCATATTCTCAAGGGTGTTGTTCTGCAGAACGCCAGTACTACAAACGCTCTGCAGGAGGCCAGGGTCAACAAAATTGGGGAGATTCTGCAGCTCTGTTCTCTTTGGCATGATCCACCACGCACATGGGTTCTTCTTCCAGGTTATCCTGAGCCCAGCTCAAGCCCATCTGTCTCTAGGTCTCAAATGTACTCTATCTATCTATCTATCTATCTATCTATCTATCTATCTATCTACCTACCTACCTACCTATCAGTGCCAGGGATTGAATTCAGGGGCACTCGACCACTGAGCCACATCCTCATTCCTATTTTGTATTTTATTTAGAGACAGGGTCTCACTGAGTTGCTTAGTGCCTCACTTTTGCTGAGGCTGGCTTTGAACTCACCATCCTCCTGCCTCAGCCTCCTGATTCTCTGGGATTATGGCTATGTGACACTGTGCCCGGCTCAGAGGTACTTTATAGTATGAGTCACAAGTGCAGTGGATGAGCCAGTTACTTGTGAAGGAGTTTCATGATCTCAGCGTCCACTCAAGACTAAGTCCAGATGGTGGATCCTGTCTTCTGATGAATCCCTGCTGCTTAGTCCAATACCTGGCACATAATAGATGCTTAATAAAGATTTGAAAACTTGAAGAATTGAAAAAGTATTCATGAACATTCATACCAACTGGGGTGGGGTAGGGGATCTTGTAAAAATGCAGGTACTAATTCAGTTGGTCTGGAGTGGGGCCTGGTTCTGCATGTCTAAGATGCTCTCGTGGAGGCTGATTTTGAATAGCCACGGCTAGAGAGCTCTGCTATGTTGAACCCTAAATGGATTGAACTCTCTTTACCCCTCTCTGGTGCTCCACCAGGTAACACCTATGAGCTGAGACTCAGTTTGTTCATCTGCCACATAGTCTAAAGGCTCTCTAAGGGTCCTTGTGGTGTGAAACATCTGTCTGTGATGTGTCACTGTGATATTGTTGCGGAGTCATCTCTGGGATTGGGGGGAGGCTCTCCCCCTGCAGGTGATCTTAGGAGCTGCCTGGTAATTACTGAAACTCACTGGGGTGCATGGAGCATTGATGGAGGGGGTGCTCTCGGTCTGACTGAACTTTTTCAGGTTCAGTCAAGACTCCTGGGAGGCAGCTGGTGACATTGAGAAACTGCCCCTCCCTGTTTCTCTGAGCCTGAGCATGAAGGTGGGGTGATGTGACATTTCACGGATTCAAGATGATACAGGTGCAGGGGTCAGGGGTGGCGTGGATACCCTGGGTATGACAGGAGAGAAATGTATACGAAAAACTCTTATAATTCAACAGTAACAAAACAGAACTGCCCAATTTAAAAATGGGCAAAAGAGCCGGGCGCTGTCGAGCACACCTGTAATCTCAGCGGCTTGGGAAGCTGAGGCAGGAGGATCATGAGTTCAAAGCCAGCCTCAGCAACTTAGCAAGGCTCTAAGTAACTCAGTGAGACCCTGTCTCTAAATAAAATATAAAAAAAATGGCTGGGGATGTGGCTCAATGGATAAGCACCCTTGGGTTCAGTCCCTGGTACCAAGTAAATAATTAAGGGCAAAGATTTGAACGGATACCTCCCCCAAAAGATAAACAGGTGACAAATGAGCAAATGAAAAGATACTCAACGTCATCTGTCATGAAGACACTGCAACTTAAAATAACAATGAGATGTCACTGCACATCTATTAGAATGACCCAAATCCCCCAAATGACAACATCCTGACCGCACTGCAACTGGAGCCCTCGTCCATCCCTGGTGGGGATTCAGAATGGCATGGTCACCGTGGAAGTCAGCGTGGTAGTGATTTTACAGAGCTGAACCTAGTCTCACCATGTGACCCACCAACCGAACCCCTAGGTGTCTGCCTAATTGATCTGGAAACACATCTGTTCCAAATCCTGCACAGGAGGGTTCATAGTGCCTTTATCAATCATCGCCCCAAATGGAAACAACCAAGTTGTTCTTCACAGGACAAAGAACAGACCAGCTCTGGGACAGCCGTTCCACTCACCAACTGTGTTGCGAGGTGCAAGAGGCCCACCTGAGCTCACATCTAGCCCAGCACAGGTACCGAGTGCTGCATGTGGACATTTTTATATAGACATCTCCTTTGCTTTTTCAGCCAAAGGGCTGACACCCGCTTCTAGTTGTGATGTCCACACCTCGTGGCCCGATCTTCGCTCCTATTACCATCCCTCAAAGAATGGAACGAGGGCTGGAAGAAGTGGCTGACCCGGGACACTCTCCTGAGGGCAGAAAACATACACGGGTGGCTGGAGCATCCTGGGGTTGCAGAGAGTGAGTGAGGAAGGGCTAAAAGCCAAACAAAAATACAAACACAAAGAACCAAAGCCCTCCATGACAGGGACAGGGAAGGGTCGTAGGAGCCAAGGGGAGGAACGGAGAGGGTGAGAGAGAGAGAGAACAATATGAGCCACAAGTAAAGCCCTGGATTGTCCCCTGAAGAATAAATATCCCCGAGTCCTTGCTGTTATGTGATTGAATACATAAGTCAACAAGGAGGAGTAGAGCAATGTTCCATATAGAAGAGTTAGAATGATTATGTGGATGCTGTGCATTTAAAGAGACCTATAAAGCTGGGCGCAATGGCTCACGCCTATAATGGCTTGGGTGGCTGAGGCTGGAGGATCGCAAGTTCAAAGTCAGCCTCCGCAAGTTCAAAGTCAGCCTCCGCAATTTAGTGAGGCCCTAAGCAACATAGCAGGACCCTGTCTCTAAATAAAATACAAAATAAATAAATAAATAAAAATTAAAATTAAAAATAAAATAAAATAAAATACAAAAAAAAAAAGGGCTGGGGATGTGGCTCAGTGTTGAGCACCTGGGTTCAATCTCTGGTACAAAAAAAAAAAAAAGTCCATAAAGCTCCCCACCACTTCATTGTGGACGGCACATAGTAACTATTTTTGGGGGAGCAGAGGTGACAGGGATTGAACTCAGGGGCACTTGACCACTGAGCCACATCCCCTGCCCTATTTTGTATTTTTTAAGAGACAGGGTCTCACTGAGTTGCTGAGCACCTCACTGTTGCTGAGGCTGGCTTTGACCACACGATCCTCCTGCCTCAGCCTCCGGAGCCGCTGGAGTTACTGGTGTGTGTCACTGTGCCCAGCTCATCGTAACTCTTTTAGTCAGTTTTTTGTTTGTTTGTTTGTTTCTGTGACCAAAATACCCAAAAAGAACAACTCAGAGGAGGAAGTTCATTTTGGCTGCTGGTTTGAGAGATTCAGTGCATGGTCGGCTGACCCCATTGCTTGGGTCGAGGTGCGGCAGGGCGTCATGGAGGAAGGGCGTGGTGGGGGCGGCTGCTCCGTTTCCGGCAGCCAAGGAGCAGAGCTAGAGATGGGGCTGCAGGGAAGATGCCCCCTTCCAGGGCTGCCCCCAGCGACCCACCTCCTCCAGCCACGACCCCCCTGCCCACAGTTACCCCCGGGGTCTGTTCAACACAGGATGGAAATGACAGTCCAGTCACTTCACCTCTGGGCACTTGGGGGCACCTCTCATCCAGACCACAAGAGCAGCTGTCTTCCCAGGAGCTCAGCAGAGAGAAGGAGACAGACGAGGACCTTCACGGTGGAGAAGCCTGGCCGCCAGGCATCGCGCCAGGTGATGGAGGTCAACGTCAGCAGTGACACGTCTGTGGGTGGGATGTGAGAGGTCAAACCCCACCTCTGTGCTCATCCTCCTTAAAACCCATCACCCAGGAGCATCCTAACCACGGGAAGGTCCTCAGACAAATCCCATCTGAGGGACATTCTGCAAAATCCTGATCAGCGCACCTCAAAACTGTCAAGGTCACGGCCAAGGAGAAAAGGTTGAAAAATGGTCACAGCCTAGAAGCCTAGGGAGAGAGGATGATCTGGTGTATCCTGATGGGATCCTGGGACCAAGGAAGGTC